AACACTATACAAAATATGAGAGGTTGCAAGAAAAGTAGTTCCCAAATTGTCAGGCACAAGGAAGGACTATTTGGAGGGTGGGTTTTTATTGTTGTTTTTAAAGATGAATGACTATGGGTGAGTGAGTGAAAGGAAATGACAGAGATGTACTAATTTATATAGCTATCTACCACTGAATCCAAAAAACCCAAAAAATAAAAGGAATTAACCAAAACACAGTATAGAGCATCTACTCCAAATGTATTAGACCTCCTGCTAAAAGCCGCAGGTTTTTGTCTTTCATAAATTCTGGCAATGTTCTCGGTCCTCTCCTGCCAACAGTGTCTGATTGCACTGAAATATTTTCCCCCTCTATTTCTCCCTTTCTTTCTGTCTTTTGCCTTTCTCTCTTCCTTCCTGAATGCACACTTGAATCTGTTATTTCACTGTTGTTAATCAGTGAATCCTAGACCTTTTATTGAAGTGATATAACTGAAAATTTCTGGTGAATGATTTATTGTCCTGTTCTTGCTGAACATTGCTGACTGTTATCACAGTAAATGTAAGTAGTGCCACTGAAGTCAGCAGATCCATGCTGAATTAATCAGTATGGATTCTGGTCCTGAGAGTCATAATTGATAAAGTCATTTGTGTGCTTGAAAAAAGTCGTGAATGGATGTCTCAGTATAGGTTCCTTAAAACTGGCTTAACTGTACATTTAATTAATTTTAGAAGGTGTCACCTTCACACAGAACAACTCAGCTTCAAAATGTTTGGTCTTGGTAAATGTCTTTATAATGTGATTATTCATAAACTTTATTTTTGTTTATTAGTGTTAGGTTTTCATCTGTGCTTTATATTCTGTGTATTAACAACCAGGCTTTTAAAAATAAGTTGGTTACCTTGCAGAAGGGAAGCCAACAGATGGCTGTAGTTTCAAACACTACAATGTGCTGTATATTCAAAAGTGGCACAGGGTTAAAAAAACCCAATAGTTTGTTTTCAGTGAAATGCTTAGATATGAACATATTTCTATTTCATACCCATCTTAAGTGAGAGAAAGATACTGAGAAATAGTTAATGATGAAACTGCTAAAACATGATATTCAAATATACTGACAAGAAGCTGCTCTAATCTCTTTTCTTCCTGTCTTTTATATGCCTTCTCTGGCTTCTTGTCTCTTTGTATATTTAATACGATACTTTCATCCCATTTACACAGCCTTGCCTAATCTTTTTTCTTATATAGCTCTTGCACTCATTTTTCTCTCTCAGCCATGTATTTCTATGTCTTTTTTCTCTTCTGTGTATTCAGTATTTCTTCTCATGCTTCTCTTATGCCTGTGCTACTGGCTTCCTATAAGCATCTTTATTGTTAGACTGTTTTCCATATTCTAATTTTATCATCTATTATTGCTCTTTGAATTCAATTCCCAAAGTATTGTTTCAGCTACTGGAAATACAGTTAAAAGTTCAAGGATATTGCTTATTTAAACAGTAACTTTCTTAAGTTACCAAGAACATCTGACAGTGAAGAACAAGATTCCTTCCTTGACTGTTCGTACAAGATGGAAATATTTCTCAGTCCCTTTCTGCCCACCATTCCTCAGAATACTGTCCAATTAATGGGATATGTATTGGAATCCATCTACCCGATTTTGGACTGACTGCTAAAATGCAAATAGATGGATGACATCTTAAGTGCAGATGTCTATATCTGGGCTGCTTATTCCCCAGTATGGTCAACAAATAGAAACAGGTGATTCTAATAATGCTTTTAATTTAATCTTGCTGTGGATCTTAGAAGTAAGTTAGCTGATTCCCATGAGGAGAGTTTTTCTTTTCCCTGTTCTGAAGTAAATTTCTGGGGCTGTGTGAGATAAACCTTACTTCTGCTAACTCCTATAGTAGGCTGGTAAAGTTAATTCTCTGTTTGACTTCCCAGTTTCTTTGGGTATCCCCTTCCCTAAATCTGTTTCTGTGTCTAATTTGAATGAAAATCAGACCTTTTATAAAATTTCTCTGCTAGAGACTTGCTGACAAGACATTGTTGTAGAAGGACTTGCAGGTGTTAATGTCTTTTTTTTTTTTTTTACTGCTGGTCTGTTAAAAACAGAGATGATATTCTGAGTTCTCCTTTTCTCTCTGCTTGTCTTCATTAATGCAGTGCTCTTCTGCCTGTGTCTCCTTTCCTGAGTTATTGTCTTCCAACATGTCTTAACAAGTTTCATTAAAACTGTGAACCCTTTGGGGCCAGGGACATATCTTGTTAAAACTTAAGAAGTGATGTAGAAGTGATTTTTAACATGCTAGAATGAAATTTAAATATAGATATGAGATATAATAAAACTCTGTACTCACATACGTGGCCACAGTTGGAAATGTACACTTGAGAGCAGAACAAGGGGCACAGTCTGCAAAGGTCGGGCTCGCTAGCTATGTATTCAATAATTAGTAATAATATTCACACTTTTAAATGTAACTGATAGAACTTCACCATAAATTTTTTGTTGTTGTTGTTGTTTAAAAGGTTTGGTTTGTGATACATTAATGAGTATTTGTCTAAATTGCTTATTGATTAATTAACTTTATGGATCTGAATATGCACATTTTCTTCAATCTGATCTTTATTATGGAAAATGCCATTGAGCAGTTAACTTTAATATAGTAACTGCTACTGAGTACTTAGAAATAAGGATGTAGGTGGCATGTCTTGTGAGTTACCAACTGGCATTAATTATGAAGTTGAACTTTTGCACTGAAGTCCTACTACCTCTGTGGTTTTAATATAGAAACTATATCTCTTATGAAAACATATTTTTAAAGTGTTCATGTGGATTTTTCTCCCTGTTGTATTTTTGGACAGAGGATATTAGAAAAGTTTAAAATTGTAGATGGTGCAAAGAAAGAGGAATAGAGGCAAATTTGATATATAAGAAATCTGAACTGTTTCTATAGGCTCAATATGAAAAAAATTTGTAAAGCTCAGTTATTAATCACATGCATTGTTAACAATAAATTTGCTAATTCTTGTCCCATTAGGGGAACCTTCCACCAGACCAGGTTACTCGAGCCCCATTTAGCCTGGCCTTTAACACTTCCAGGGATGGGGAGTCCACAACTTATCTAGTAAACCAGTTCCAGTGCCTCACCACCCTCTGAGTAAAGAATTTCTTCCTAACATTTAATTTAAGCCTGCCCTCTTACAGTTTAGAACCATTGCCCCTTGTCATGTCACTATCTGCCATATAAAAAGTCACTCTCCCTCTTTCTGAAGCCCCCTCAAGGTACTGGAAAGTTGTAATAAGATCTCCCCAAAGCCTTTTCTTCTCCATGATAATCAACCCTAACTCTCTCAGCCTTTCCTTACAGGAATGATGTTCCAGTCCTATCATAAACTTAGTGTCTCTCCTATGGAGTCATTCCAACAGGTCAACAACTTTCTTTTTCATTTTAAGGAAAGCATTTTCCCCATTTTTATCTTAATTTACTGTGTTTTAAGTTTAAACACTTGCTCACTTGCTTTTTATCCCAGCTGGTTGGTAATAAGGTGAACATAAATGTGAAATCTGAGAGTTTGGAGCAAGAAGATGACTATGAAACATACACAGTTTTTGTTTCCTGACAAATCAGATGGAGAAATAAGTGAAGACGGAAATGGGCACGATTGTCTGAAATGAGAAGAGTAATGAAGTAATTCAGAAATATTTCATCTAAGTAGGCGTGTCACAATTACTTTCCTTACAGCAGAATTTTGCCATTGAGAACATTCCACATTCAGCCCATGACACAAAATTGTAATTATTTTCCTTCACTGTTTGACTTGACAGTTTCTACTTGACTAAGCTATAGCAATGGATAAACAAATTGTTGACCATGGAGTTAGTGGAGTGAAGACATACAAGGCTAAACAGCACAGGTGTCTTTAGTCAGAAATAAAAGAAAAGGAAATTGTTGTAGTGTATTTTATAGTAACAGTTTATAATGCACTGATGAACACACAAACATTTTTAAAGAATTTTGTACACTTATGTACAATTCAATTATCTGGAAAGCACTGGATTAGCAGTCTTGGCAACTACTAGATATTTACCCAACTCTGATCACAGCAATGTTTGACTTCTTAAGTATTCCCTGCAGGTGCAGATGCCCTGTCTTATTACAGTGTTCCTCTCTTTAGCATTTTCGAATGCAGTGCCAAAGACACCTGTGTAGCATCTATGTACAGGAAAAAGAGGATCTTTCAGAAAACCAGGATTTTGTTTATTTGCCTCCCTTTCCCTTCCCACTCAGCAAATCAACCGGGCCATCCTCCAGGACAATGGCCAGGTTCTTGTTCCAGACTTTTCCACCCTGAATGTTTTCATTATTTATGTTTCAACAGCATGGAGGAAAAAAATTGAAATATTCTTGACTTTCAGCTTTGTGTGTCTTCCATGTGAGATGACTCTAAGGAACGGGAATTACCAAGAATTTTCTTTGGACTGAACAGTATCAACTAGCCTTCAACAGTATCACAGTTAGTCTTCAACACCCTGTATTGATTAGTCAGTAGGCGGGTGTGTATTGCATTCTGCCTCAGGCATGCATCCCCGATTTGCACTTTTACAGATTTGTCTTGGACCAATGTCAAAGTGACTTTTGGGAAGTCCAGCCCTATAATGCGTGAAGAGCCAAGCTACAGGACACACTGTGAGGTAAATAACACAAATGCAGGGAAAGAACTTTAAGCACAGGGGAAGGACTTTTATTGTTTGCTTGTGGTTTTTCCTTAAGGAAAATTTAAGGCAGCCCTTTGAAGATTTCTTTTTGTGTAAAAAACGTGAATGGACAAATCCTGTCTTGGTTTGCAGCATTACCATGAGGAGAAGATTAACTATGACATCCTTTGCTTGATTTTCTATAAATTTAGGGTGATATACCAGTTCTAGTCAATTAATTCAAGGGATTTCTAGCGAGAAACCTGTCTCTTGGTTATGTTAACGTTCTTCCAATCTTTATCTTCTCTGCTGACCTAGCAGTCAGTGCTCTCTCCAGACCTGAAGCTGGATGAGTTGGCGGAGCCCTCTGCATGATGCCTTGAGCAGCTGCTGTGAAGAACCACAGGGCATTGAGAAGCTGAACACTACATCCCAGTAGCCCTTTGTCAGTTCTTTGGCCATGAGTTCCATGAGTCACAGTGAAGGTATTTTACTCTACTATATTTCAATTCCCTTGAAAAACAAAAAAAATTACACAATACTGTCTCCTAAACTGATGCTATGAAGGAATGCCTTAATTTAAGTCTTTTGCATCCTACATATCTAAGACCATATATAGAGATGCACTTCATCCACATGACCAGTCCAGAAAATGACTTTATGCCTCATCACTATCTCCTCTGCATGACCTGTGATGTGTCTCTGGGTGTTGGTAAATTGAGCAGCTTTCTAGTCTTTATTAAAAAGAGACAGTGATGAGGGTAACCACAGGGCATTTTGGTGTGTCTTAGCCAGGTGGAAGAGTGGAGGGTGAGTTAGTGTTCAAGAGCTCAGGTGAGACATCAGACATCACCACCAACAGGCCTTTAGAAGACAGTGGGAAGGAAGAGGCAAAACTCACCAGCCCAAGTTTCTTCCTCTGTTTCCAAATGTTGTCAAAGATGCTGGTAGAAAATTAAACAGCATCTCCCATGCAGTGATACAGGGTAGATCTCTCAGATGTATCCCAGAGCAGGTTTTTACAGGTGTGCTGTGAGAACTTATGGAAGAGGTATAATGTGTGAAGACTCCTTGTTTTCTGAGCTCTGGATGTGCTTGGGATATGCTGGTATGATCGTGGAGGCCTGAATAGAACACACCTTATGGGGTTGATTTTTGGAAGTGCTTGAAGCATACCATCACATAGACACAGACAACCCAGATAATGTACTGTTCTCTATAAAACCCCCTAATCAGTGATTATACAGGAAAAGGGATGAAGCACAATGGACAAGGTTACTTGAGTAATTAATATATGCATCCTCTTTCTCTGAGAGGGCTGACATTCAGTTTGAATTAAATGTTCTTTTTCCTTATTTTTCCAGTATTTGGCACATCTCTACCACTGCCAATGTATGTGTCACTTTGTTCTCTGTTTTATTTTGTGGTATGATTATCTCTTCCATAGGAATGAGGGATGGGGAGTGAAAGCAAATCACTGAAGTTCAATTTCATGAGGGAGAAAACGTCCAGACACTGTGAATGTAGCAAAATGAAGCAAACTTGCATTATTTTTCCCCACCACTCCCTTTTCATTGGATCTGTTTCTTTTTAAATAGTTTTTCTTTTTTTCCATTTTACTCTACTCTCATGTAATGTATTTATGATACTGCATTGAATAAGCATAATTTTTCAACTGTAGGTTTGAAGTGTTTCAAAAGATGTTCCAGTAACTATATTCCGTAGACACAAAGATGTTAAATTACTTTGCCAAGTTAACTAAGGAAAGAACAATAATAAAAATGAGAACAGAGGACCTTTTTCTTACTCTATTCTTCAATGACAACCTGTGATGCTTTTAGTACAGAACCATGACAATGGATGCAGAAAAGCTAGGATGTGTTCATAGATGACATTCAAGAAAATTAAAATTATTTCTAATAGAAAGGGAATGAATACCCTGACCTCTTTATACCTTTATGTACATTAAATTTTATTCATAGGAGTAATTTTTCACAACTCAATAAAGTTATTCATTTGGTACATTAAATTAAGCATAGATTTAAGTGCCTTCAGGATGAAAGCATTGTGAATAATATTAACATTATCAGAGTTGTTTTCTGTTTTCTTTCTGAACTCATACTCTTGACCTTTTGTTGTAATTTTTTGCTTTGGGTTTTTTTTTTTTAAATTTTGTTTTGTTTTGTTACTGCCTGCCCTTCATAAGGAACTGTTATAAGGGAACAGCTAGTCCTTGTCTTCTGTACTAGGTGACTGCAATTTGATCTCAAACAGATGAAAACAGTGAATGAGTTGAAAAATAAAATGCACTATGAAAATCCATGAATATGGGAAAGTTACACCATGCAGTTAAAACAAATAAAAACCAAAGCCTTTGCTGCCTTCTACATAAAGTATAAGTTTAAGTACATAAGCACTCAGCTTTTTTACAGAGCTCTCACTGATGTGTTTTTTGCTAATTTGTCTGTTTGTACTACTTTAATATATTTTGCAAGCCATTTTCAAGGTAAAATTTGATATAACTAAATTTACCTTTGAAAAGATTAAATGTAAGTGGTTTAAAATGGGTAGTTTTAAGGGAACACCATCTGGTACATGGTTATTAAAAAAGTCCATGAAAATATTGCATGACAAAATTAATACACAGCTAAATTACCATAAAAACCTAAATTAACAAGCCAGTTCAAAATGCTGATTATGATTAATTTTGTATATAAGTTTGCATAATTTTGAATCTCTGTTATGACCCCTGGTGAGATGTAGAAGAGATTTTTGTAGGACACAAAATATAGCAATATTTGAGGGGATTAGTAGTACTTGAGGGGATAAGAACCAGTAGAAGTCACTCAGCATTTTTTCTATCAGGTTACCCTATTAATAAACATCTATAATAATGAAAGAATTGCAAAATTGGATTTTTGAGGAGGTTAAGTGGGATTTTTATAAGCTCACTTTTTATGAGAGACTTAGAAGTCCACTGAAAGTTATGACAGATATGAAGTTACTATGCATTACTGTTTAATCTAAAATACTGATCAAAATTTCTTGGACATTGCATTTTTGTTGACATTTCATATTATTCTTTCCTTGGTCACTGAAATCCCATTGCTCCATATCTATGGTGAATTATGAACAGTCCCTGTAGTATTAGGCTGATTAACATAATAGGAAGCTATGTGCAAAATAAGCAAAAATAAATAAATAAGTAAACAAAGTGCACAATCCATCCCTGTCAGCATTCCCAAGACATTAAGTGAAGGACAGTATTGCAATTTCTTAGTGTCAGCAGTTCTGGTTTTGACAAGGTGCAAACTTTGGTTTGACAGAGATAGTCTTCAAAGCGATACAACAGTTAGCAAACACCCTTATATGTTTTGATTTCTAGGAAATTGAAGGTCAGTTGTTACAAACTGCTTAGGGAGACAAGCTGACAGGAAGATAAAGGGAGAACGCTCTGGGAGCCGAAAGATGGAGGCCTTCATCCATTCTGAGAGCAGCGCATTCTGGTAGAGGGGCTGAAGGTGTGTGCAATGAGACAGGGAGCTGCAAAGGCAGGCTTCATGAAACTAATACAATTTTTTCTTCTTGCATGACAGCTTAACCCACTGTTGTAGCACAGGCCTTGTTCAGTGGTTCAGCCTTTGGGAATGTCCTGCAAAAGTAAAAATGTGGTGCTGTGCAGGTAAAAGCCTGATAAATGCCTGATAATAGCTTTCAAGGCAAATTTTAATAAACTGGTAAATATTCAATGTGTTCAAAAAACATGACAGTGAAGCCTAGATAATAAATGATGCTAGCAATATAGAGGGTGGGAGCCACCCTGGAGTCCAGGCAAAATTGGTTGTCTGGTGTCACCTACCCACATTGCTTTTTTCATCTTCTCTCCCCTACATACAAGTTCTAGAACAGGATGTCTCCCTTCCTTGGGCTCCTCTTTTTTTTGTTTTTTTTTGGCCATTACCGTAGGGGCAGCCTGTGCACTACTTTGAGTCTATGTTTTAGATGGCTGAAATGAGGTGAGATAAACCATGTGTAAAGTTCATCAATTATCTTTCCAAAGTCTCCTCTCCTCTCCTCTCCTCTCCTCTCCTCTCCTCTCCTCTCCTTATTTCTTTTCTCTCTCTTGTATCTGAAACATACATGTCACAGGTGTGTGTGTTTATGAACACATAAACAAGCAGATTTGTCAGATTTGTTAAGAACGTGATTCAGCCTTCAAAAAACAACCCTTATTTATATGCGCTATATCTCTGCGTGTATGCAAATTTGAAAAGAGTCACCCCTGTCCTTCCCACAAAATTTAAAAATTTGGTCAGAAAACATTTTAACAGTTCCCTAATCAGCAGCCTGCTCTCTGTTGGATCAATAGTTAACTGCTCCTCAACTGCTGTAATAAAAATTTGTAGCCTCTCCCCAAACTGTCACAAGTGTTGTGATCAACACACGAAGAGTTTGCTGGATCTCTAATTAGCTGGCACTAGTTTAAATCCTGTCTTTCCCCCACAGCCTGTTGGAACCTAGGACATTTCGCTGGCTGCCCTGGCTGATCCGAGACCCTGGCAAGGGGCTCAGAGACCTTGGCACAGAGTCAAAACCACCTGTGCCTTTGATTTTAGCCCATGGAAAAAATTAACAACTTTGTGTGAAGATGTGCAAGTCACAAGAGTTTGAGTAGAATAATAGTTAGTTTTTCACAGGGTGAAAAAGTAGAATTTTGGGGTTTTAGAAGGGGTGTTCAAGAGGCAAGATGGAGGAATTTGGGCATGTCTTGCCCCTTCTCCTTCTTCTTGTCCTCCATCTTCTGCTGTGATGGTGACACTTCTTGATTAGTTTAGAGTAGAGACAGACTATCTAACATAGGTATTGGAAAATTATTGTAAATAAAGTACATGTAGTTTTTAGTATAAAATTAATACCACCCCAAGGGCAGTCACTGTGCTGCAACCTGACCTGCTAGACAGATCTCAGCTGGTCAGGGAAATAATGTTATAAATAAGGAAAAATAAACATCCTTGAAAAGCAGAACCAACGAATCTCGACTTCTTTGGTTGCAGGGCTGGAAGAAAAAAGGCTTTCTACTAGCTCGGGGTCATCTCAACCTCAGAACCCTGACAACAGCCCAGCTCACAAATAAAAATATATAGCTTTTAAATTAAATATACAGGCAAAATACATTAGTAAGAAAATATTTACAGCTCACAGGTAAAAATAAAATTCTTTCCCTTTTCCCTTGCTGTTGTTTTATTTTCTTTACAATGGAGACAGGACTAGGGTTGCCTAACCATTTTTGAGGAGCTGAGCACTATTTTAGGATGTCCTGATGGCTGTGTTGTCATTGCGATTGCACAAAGGTTTAAGAGCAGGAGTGAGGCCCCCTACTTACCACCTGGATGACATTGTTTACACAGTTAAGATAAACAACAGGTTATCTAAGACTGCATAGCCCTCATAGACTCATAGATTAAGGAAGGAATAGTGTCATGGTATTTTTACTTTGTAAAAAGGAAAAAAAAAGAGCTCTGATCCATCATTTGTTTGGGGGAAATTTTATAGTAATTTTGGCCTTGTTTAATCAAATTGTGAATCATCTTCTGGGCTTGAAGTTAAAAATAAAAAAGGCAGGTGTGACTCCAAACTCAGCAGGAATTGGCTACCAATGCAGTCAGAAGGAGCTGAGAGCCAAGACATCTGCTTTCACATCAGTAAAATCCTGTCTAAGAGGGAGGCATGAGGCTTATAAGTGCTGAAGTAATTGGTAGCTGGAGGCAATGAATTTCTTACTCTTCCAGAAACTACACGCTCGTGTAAGAGGCAGAGCTTCTGGATCCAGGCACCTGTTGAGTTCTGAACTCCACACAAATTTACAGAAGCAATGTGGTTTTCAGTTCTGTAGTTTTGATTATTCTTTCCTACTGGTAGCGGCACGATGTATATTCCTGAACACAGTATTGTTCCAGGTGAAGAAACAAAGCAGTATGATAAAATGCCTGTGATATTAATATAAGGATTCATAAATAGCATATTTTCATATTTCAGGTTTCATAAATTGACCCTGAATTCACAAAACATCCTAGTTTTTGAAATGTGTTTTCTGGAAAAATCTAGTTCAGTTAATCCTTCCCACCCCATCACCTCCCCATCCCCATTTCTACAGTGGCTAGGATTTCTCTGTGTCTGTTTTGTTAGAGCTCTGATTTTAGCTGGGCTCTGACAGTCCTTCCTCTTAGCAGCTCACCTCTGAGGAGGTTACTCATGGTCTCCTCCAGTTTCTTGGGCATGGTCACAGAGCTTAGTCTGCTCACCTGATACTGCTCAGTGTTCACTGCCCACAGCCAGTCAATAATTTGACTTTTACGTAGAAGTGAAGAAGGTTAAAACAAACAAGATAATTGTATTTTCAGTAGGCTAAAGAGTTGCTTAAAGAAACTAGGTCTCATATTTTAGTTACCAGGGACAACAATTTTAAGTCTTTGAGGTAATTTCAGTCTCTTGTGTTTTTAAAATAGGATACATTGGATACAATACAATGTATTACGTGTTAACTTCTAACATAAGCCCTTGAAAACATCTTTCTTAGTGCAAACCTGATACATGGACTGCTAACTTTGACAAAATATGCAAGTGTATTTGGTATGCTTTACAAAATTATGTCTGGTTTCTCATTTATTGCATGATGTACTTTTGACCTGCTAAGACCTGATGGCTGCCCAAGGGAGGTGATGTTGGATTCACCGACAAGTTGAAAAGAGCTATATTTTTTCAACAAATTAGTGATTCAGATAATTATTTAGCAAGATTTACTTATTTGCAGCATCTGAGGGCTGATCTTACATACTTTTTTGTTGTTATTTTGGTTCTAAATGTCTCATTTTCTTTTGATTCCTTGCCTTGCCTTGCCTCTTATATTTGTTCAAATCAGTGAATACAAATCCTCACAATTAAAGTCTATTTTAAAACATTCATAATTTTTTTCAAAATATGTGTAGTGCTAGATTAAATTGGTTTTTTTTACCAAGATATGATTATAATTATAATCAGTGATAAACAATAGCAAATGTGGACTACAGGGCTGAAAAAGGTCCATCAGTGTATTTTTTACCAGAAATTTTAACACACAAAGCTTTTGCCTTTATATTTCATCTGAGATTTTGGATTATTACAATTAGGAAATGCATATTAATTCAGCAGTACAGTTTACCTGTTCTGCCTGTTGCAGTCCTATTCATATACACACAACTCGTGCTACCTTACTCTATTCTGGAAAACATAGTGAATATTAATAAATTTTAGTGAATAACTTAAATTCTGTTAGAATTATTTGTTGTTCTGGGATTTTGAAACATTTGTTTGGCAAATATCCATGTTTTTTCTGTTACAGATGAACAAACTGCATTCATGGTTCAGTGTGATCCATTCATTGGTTCATGGAGCCCAAAGTCCTTCAGGAAGTGTGACAAATCCACATAATTTCCCTGAATGCTAGGTTGTGCATGTTTTGTATCTGATTAAATTGAAAGATGTGTTAAAGAAATGTAGAAAAATCCTCATGTATAAAAATCCTCAGACAGCTCCCAATAGCTATATATCTCAGAAATCTCTGGAGCATTTTGTTATTCAAAGCAAAATTGGCAGTAATTTACACTCAATAAATTGGTTCCAGATCTGCCTCTTTCAGATGATATCACAAGGACATGATTTTATGTGAGATTCCCTTACCTTTTGTCAAAGTGTGTTCTTTTAAAGAAATTTGCCATGGCAAATGCAGATGATAAAGAGACTCCCTTGCCTTGCAGAGCATGAAAGAATGTAATGGATCAATAGTTCATGTACAAGCTATGTTATGATCAAATAAAATTATCATTTTTTCCCCAAGTTTTTGGAAAAGAAGGTTCTGGATTCATGGAAAAATCATTACATATATCATTCATAATGCATTGATAAAGCATCCATTTGCTACAAACCACACAGTCTTTGCAGACAGGTACAGTACGTTTTGACTTGTACCCAAAGAAAAGTGAAAATTAAGCCTTTTAGCAGTCATGCCTTGACTCGGAAGGAGTAATCTTTTCTATAGTTTTAACTTCATTGCTATTTAACAGCTTTACCAAATAATAGTTTATTACAAAACTGACTAATTCGGTTCAGGATTTTTTTTAAGGCAGCTGTGAAGAAATACAGCTTATCTGTCTGCAAGTTGTAAATGCATAGAAAAAAATATTTAAAAAAATAACAACAGAAATTATAAATAAAAATGAAAGTGGGAAATTAAGAAAATTAAAATTTAGACTGAAAGAGAAATACTTTTCTCATGGTAACATCACTTAGACTTGAAACTTTAAAACAAATATTTGAAACATTGAAACAAAAAAAGAAAAAATCACTGTCTAGCACTGGGAAAAGGATCGCTTAAATAATGTAATATTTCTTTTATATTTTGAACTTACTAGCTTTGTGATTATGAATGGTTGTAATTTTAGGAGAAAGGAAGGAAAATATGCTTTGTTCAGATGATAGTGGTACTTTGTTGGTTGCCTGCATGTGTCTGGGAGAATAATGCTGTTGTGAAGTTGCTCATATCTCTATACATTCTATTATTTGAAGGAAAAAATACTTTCAGTGGAAATGCATTAAATAGGTCCATAGACACACATTTCTTGACTCCAGTTTAAGTTGCAGTTGCAGGATGAGGTCAACAACATCTTGTACCTCTGGTACAAGCATACTTTGTGACTTGAAATCAATGAAGTATTGGAAGCAGCAAGCATCTCTCCTGTTCTTATCTCTTTCTATAAAGGAAAGCATAAGATGGCTGATAAAGGTAGTGTTTTTATTATTTCTGTTGGCTTTGTGCCAGTTGAGGAAATTCTGGTTTTCCTATTGCAGTGTAAGTTTCACTGACTGTAATACCTCCACCTTTGACCTTTATTACTTGTTTTTTTGTTTTGGCTTTTTTTTTTTTTTAATTTCAGGAGAGCTTGAGAATATGCAATATTCCACTATACTCCTGTATCTCAGTATTTATGTACTCTATTTCCTTAATCTAGGGAAAAATAAATGAATTTTGCACTTTGTTCCTAGTTGCTGGCAAAGATATATTTGTAGAAGCTTTTTCTCCTTTCCTATCACAACATGTTGATAAGTGTTATTGCTAGAGTATAATAGTCTTGCCCCTTTTTCACTTGAAAAATATTTATTTGCATTTATTTTTCTTTCTGTTCTTATTACAGTGCTGCAGCTAGACCTTTAATTGTTGACACGCTGCTTTATGGAGCTGCTCAGAAGTACATAAATTCTGTTAGACAGATGATTGTGTAAGACCTCTTCATCTGGAACAAAACTGATCCTGCTACTTTTTTATTATTCTTTCTTTACATAGGCTATCTACAGCTGTCTGAAGATATCAGGTATCAGGAGTAACAGTCCAAATGTAAGGCATTCTCCATTCCATGTTTGTGCAAAATATAAGAATAATGCCTATTTACCTGGTACTACTTTAATTTTCATTTGAGATGTTTTGTGAAAATTATAAATTAACTTTTCCCTGGTCAAAAAGGCATTTATATGCAAGTGTTTATTGTTTTTATTGCTTTAAATAAATAAATAAATAACATGAAAACCCAAGTTCTAAATCAAAACATTAAAAGAGTAGTGAAGCATTTGTTCTCTGAAAGAAAACCTAGTAGATTTGTGTCCTTGTTGTTCTGAAGTGCCAAATATTTTATATAGACTTATAAGGAAATAAATCCAAATACTAGAATTTTTGAATACTGGAAAAGAAACAGCTTAAAAATAGCACATATGGTCAGTTGATGAAACTTTTGGTTCACCATGCCTGATTATTCTGTTATACAACTAATTTTAGAAATTCTTCTGCATGCAGTGAAAAGAACTACTGTTTCCTAATTTTGCATGTTGATATTATTATTTCCCTATATAAAAAGTCCTTTTTATATAGGGAAATAACAATATCAGGCTTTCTTTAAACAATGTAGTGGGTTGGCAAGGCTCTGGTAGTGGGAAGATACAGGAGTGGCTCCTGTGAGAACTTGCTAGACGTTTTCTGCATGTCAGATAGATCCAATGCCAGCCAGATCCAATATGAACCCATCCCTGTTCAAGGCCAAGCCCATCACCAAAGGTTGTAGCACTTCTGGGGTAATGTGTTTAAGACAGGGAAAAAAGTTATTGCGTAGGAGCAATTGCAGCCAGAGAGAAGAATGAGAACATATGGGAGGAACAGCTCTGCAGACTCTAAAGTCAGTGCAGAATGAGGAGCAGGAACTACTCCAGGTTCCAGAGCTGAGATTCCCCTGCATCCCATGGTGCAGCCCATGGTGAGGCAGTTGTGCCCCTGCAGCCCATGGAGGGCCATGGGGATGCAGAGATCCACCTGTGGCCTGTGGAGGATCCCCATGCCTGAGCAGATGGATGCCTGACAGAGGCTGTGACCCCATGGAAAACCCTGCTGGAGCAGGCTTCTGGCAGGACCTGTGGAAAGAGGAGCACATGCTGGAGAAAGTTTGCTGGGCAGGATTTGCTGCAGTGGACCTATGCTTGAGCAGGTTGTGCCTGAAGGACTGCACTCAGTGGAAGGGACACAGACTGGAGCAGTTTGTGAATAACTGCAGCCCAGAGAAAGGACTCATATTGAAGAAGTTCGTAGACTGTCTTCCACAGAAGAAACATCACACTGCAGGAAGTGAAGAGTGTGAGGAATTCTTCCTCAGAGGAGAAAGGAGAGATAAAGACAATGTGCAATGAACTGACCTCAATCCTGATTCCCTGAGAAGTCAGGCATAAAGTTGAGCTTGCGAAGAAGGGATGGGTGGGGAGGATGTGTTTTAAGATTTGGTTTTATTCCTCATTACCTTGCTCTGATATGATTGGTAATAAATTAGTTTCCCCAAGTCAAATCTGGTTTTGCCCATGACAGTAACAGCTGAGTGATCTCTTCCTATGCTTGTATCAAACTGTGAGGCTCTTTTAATTTTCTTCTCCCTTGTTCAGTTGAGGAAGGGTAATGATAAGAGTGACTTGGGTGGGCACATGGCATCCAGCCAGGGTCTACCCACCACAGACACTCATTTATGGGATCTTGTGGTTGTGGCCTTGCAGTCAGTAGCAAAGTAGCAGGTTAAATATTGCTGCATTTCCATTAGTAGCAGCTGATTACACCTTCTTATCTCTTGCATCTTGAGACCTTTTAGGTGATAATGTTAACTTCTTGCTACAAATGTCTCATGAGATGTTGTAGTAGGGAATCATGGGTTTATTTTAAATTCATGCTCATATGCACATTCTCATAATTAGTAGAGAATGTGTTTGTCTAAATAGTCTGTCCCACATTCAAGGATTAACAGGCATGTACTGAGGTGGTCTGGCCAGGACTTCCTGTGATGCCACGGAGTGTAGTGAGCATCCTGAGTCATTACCATGGCTCTCAGCTTTTTCCTATGTTGGCAGCTATGATAGTTTTTGATACCCTTTTTATATCCCTTAGGAGCTGACCTCAAGTAGGTTTTTTTATTCTGTTAATAGTTTTATTCTCTCTGAGCCCTCTCAACCTTTATACATCATTTTGATTAGCTTTCTTTTCTCTCTGAATCTTTGTGTACCTTTTGTCTTTCTTTGTACCTTTGCCCATCCTGTTCAGGGTGTGAGCTGTCCTTTATTTTCTTCTCAGTTTTCTTCTCCTTAGTACACTGCATGTACCAGCACAGAGTTCTTAAATTTCTTCTCAAGGTGCCATAAATGCTGGGTTTTGTACATCCCTCTTTTGCAGTTTCAGTATCTAGACTTTCAATATCCTTCGATTCTCCAGTATCATTTCTGTTGCAATTCTGACTGGGGGGACATGACAGCATGAGGACCTGCGATTCATCAAGGCCAAGTGACAGGTCCTGCACTTTGGCTACAACAATGCCATGCAGCACTACAGCTTGGGACAGGAGTGACTGGAAAGAAGCCTGGTGTAAAAGGACCTGAGGGTGCTGGTTGAGAGCTGCTGAACATGAGCTATCATGTGCCCAGTGGCCAGGAAGACCAATGGCATCCTGGACTGTATCAGCAACAGTGTGCTGGGATTGTCCCTCTGTATTTGGCACCGGTGACACCACAAATCCTGTGTCCGGTTCCAGGCCCCTCACTGCAAAAAAGACATTGAGGGGTCGGAGCGAGTCTAAAGAAGGGCAACAGAGCTGGTGAATTGGCTAGAGGGCAAGTCCTGTGAGGAGTGACTGAAGGATCTGGGGTTGTTTATGCAGGATGAAAGGAGGCTTGGGGGGACCTTACTGTTCTCTACAACTACATAAAAGGAGGGTGTATCTGGACCGGGATTTAGTCTTGTTTCCAAAGTAATAAGTGACAGCACATAGCCTCAAGCTGAGCCAGGGAAGGTCCAGGCTGGACAAATCTCTTCAATGAAAGGGTTGTTAAACAATGGAATAGGCTGCTCAGGGAGGTGGTGGAGTCACCATTCCTGGAGGTGTTCAGGAAAAAAACTAATGTGGCATTAAGTGCTATGTACCAGTTGGCAAGTTGGTGATCAGCCATAGGATGGATATGATCATCTCAGAGGTCTCTTCAACCTAAATGATTTTGTGATTCTGTGCCATTTCAGGACCAACTTTCAAGTTGCACTGTATAGTTCAGCTGAGGTTTTAAAATTACTGCAGTCAATAAAGTCCACCACTGTCTGAAGCCAAAGTCTTGTTCCTTTCATTAGAGAATGACCAGCAGAAGAAGGTGACCATTTAAGCAGTTTTAGTCCAATATTAGACAAAGCAGGAAAACTAAACACAGAAAAATATCCAGGACGATTGCTGATTTTTTAAAAGAAACAGGATTTGCAGGTTCATTGGTTCCTTGAAAAGAATTTTGATGATTGGCAGTCTAGGCTAAATGGACACAAAAAGGACCCTTTTCTCTGACCCATTGATTTTTTCATGTTTTTACATGTCATGGAAATCAGGAGATTTATGAAAAGGACCTCGCTTTTGTTAACCTTTTGTTACAGATATCCATTTATCATAGCATCCAGCAGATTTTACTAAGTTGTTGAAAAATATATGATCCATTCTAAAAAGAGCTGAAACTGAAAAATAATTTCTGAAGTGAGTTGAACTAGTGTAATGTGTGAATACGTATAATATGATCTCTTGTGACATACACCTTTGACCAAACAGTATTAGTAATGGTATGCAGGATAATATGGCATTAGTAGTAATAATCGGAAAATCACCTCTTCATTGGAAGATGAAAACAAACAAAAAACCTAAATACCTATCTACACAATGTTGTCTAATTTTTCTTCAATCAGGTCTTTAATGAATTTAAGATGTGAGTGTAGTCACAGCAGTTCCAACCCCCACAGTGAAAGAGAGCATATGTAAAGAATACAATTTAACAATCCTTTAATGCTATTTTGAACAAGCTGCAAATGCAATTGTAGAACTATTCAATTTTTCAAATGACCTGGTAGGAACTGCGGTTTGTATAACTCATTTTGTGATGGTATTATGTTTGTGTTGTCCTCTTTTATCATTAATGTGCAGAGTTATAATTAGAAGTTTGGCTTGATTAAGAAAAAACATAATGTTAAACATTAACTCAAATAAAAACCAAGCCCTTGAGGTTTTCTTTTTAAAAAAAAATCTTAATAATTCTTTATTATTTTAAAGGGTAGACAAATGGCATAAAAATGTATTTATAAAACATTTCATATAAACAATAGTTATACATAGATGTTTATATCTAATCTTTCATAATTCTGCCAACTTATTTTAATGTGTATAGTGATATGTCATAGAGAGATTAATTAGCAATTGCTACTTGACTGAGAAACACTTTGCATATTTTTCATACCATAGAAACCACCTACTAAAAACTACCTATAAACATTAATAAGGGTTGTAAATGAAAAAAAAACAAACCACCAACATGTATTTTTAGCACATTTCCACCCAGATGCAGTTGGAATTATAATAACAGGTTGAAAATGTTGTGGAGTTATTGTCATGGATAAGTTCATTGCCATGACTAATAACATCACTGGGAAAAAAAATGCAAGACCTACTCAGATTATGTACATATGCAAAAGAGTAAAATGAGGAGAAAGTTGGAGAGAGTAAGTGTTAAATTGTAATGCTAAGGATGAGCAGCATCAGACTTGCCCTGGAGTTGTTGGAAAACATGTTGAAAAAGATGCCTTGCTGTTTCTCATTTACCAAATTGTTTTCTAAAATGTGCATAAATTAAAATATTTCATAGAACTCTCTTTTTTATTACTCTTCATTATCGTATAAGAATGGAAAGGAATTATAGTTAACAATTTAAAAATATTGTGCCATTCAGAATGAAAGCTTGCATCTACATGTAAAAAGAAAGATGCTTGTACATTATACTTTCTTTTGGGCATTTTTTTTCTGTACAGAATACATGTAGGCAAAATATTTACAGCTTCTTAGCATGCTGCAAATTCCTTTTCAAAATTAACCATATTCCTTAAGCTAAATGGTTAAGCCAGATAAATAACCACAAACATGGAGGAAGTTATGTGCATATTGCAACCCCTACTATTTACTGAGTAATATTTAGAATTATAAAATTATCTTTAGAATTATAAAATTATCTTTAAAATTGACAATTAATAATGGAAAACAAAAATTCTATGCTGGACATCTACTAGAGGTTTTCATTTATAGTAAAGTGTTTTATTGTGTGACATGGGAAACATAGGGATTGTGATTAATGGGAGAGCAGAATTATGCAGCATCTTTCAAGCAAGGCACAATCTCACACTATCTCTGATGAGGATTAGGTGTTTATTACAGGTCTACTGGGGTCTTTACCAAAGACAAGGAAAGGTCTTGTTCCCCTAAGTCATTCCTGTATTGACTTAGAACTGAACCTTGAAGTGAACTGAACTGTATTGAATTGAACTGAACTGAACTTAGAATTACATATGAAACAGAAAGAGTCTGGAGAGTAGTGGAATGGGTTTAAAACTTTTGAACTCCAAAACATTTTTGAATAAGCACCTCTTACAGTCATTAAGTTTTAATACAAGAACAAAATATTATATAATTCTGTGCTACTTGATTGTGTAGTTTTAACAGCTATGTATATCCACATGTGTAGAAGTATAGGATACCAATAAATCAAAGGTATCTTAATATGTTGAATTTTAAGACACTTTTTACTTTCCATATATTTCTTTAAATTTGTTGATTTGGGGAAGGAAATCATATTGCTTTTACTTTAAATCTGAAAAATATGCAGATACTTCGAGCTGATAATTGCTGTGGAATCAATGTGAAAAATCCTTCTGTTCTGTTTACATAGAATGTAAACAAATGAACAAACCAACCCACATTCCCTCTTTTGTTGTCTTCTGTGCTTTCATTATCTGGCCTTTGACGTACTGAAGTAGATTTCCATAGTATTTTATTACTTCAGAGGCAAATTTTACTCTTCATTTCCACCTGCAAACACTGGCCAAACTAAAATTCAAGTGTTATTAAGTCTTTATGGCTCATCTCCTTGCCCCTTCCAGATCAACTTCACAATTTCTCAGAAAATTCCTTCACAACAGGTCTTTGAAGGAGAGTTAGAGGCAGAATTGACTTGTTAATGCTTTCCTCAAGCAGTTGCTAGTGCTATTGCAGTCTTTGAATTTCAGTAGCATTTACACTGCAGGTCAGACCATGAAAAATTTTTTGTGCTAAACTTAGATATGCATGGACTTCACCTCATCTAATATTACTTTTTTATTTATTTTTTCAGAAATTCTTGCAGTCTAGCAAGCTCTTATAACAAAGTAATTTTGGATGTTCTTTTGTATGAAGAATCTTGTTCCTTAACTATTTTTATGTTTCCAAGAAACTAAGTACAGAAGCCAGTGGTGACTATATGTTTTATGTTGTCACAGAAGACAAAAAGAAGCCTGGAACATTGTGTGAGGAATCTCTGACAGGATATATTCACATCAGGATTTTAGTTAAGATCCTAAAAGTATTTTTGAGATCAGTCTTGCAGTTAGCTCCCAATCTGTGATACTGTTGGTGTCATAGAGGCACGTGTTGGTGTCACAGAGCAGGTCCTGTGCAAAAT